GGGGGGGGGGGGGGGCACAGACAGACACGGGATAAGCTGGCCCTGGGGCAGGGTAGCTCTGGGTTAGAAGGTCCTTCCCAGTCCCAAGAGGTAGGTGGTGTCTCAAGAAATAAAACTTTGGGGTCTTTTTGGGAATGAGACAAATTTCTGGAAGTCCTATTTTACAGAAACAAAAGGGATTAAAATGTTTAGTCGGGATACTGCCTGAAGAACTTTATTTGTGAGTAAAACGTGTTACAATGGAAAGGACACAGGGCCTGCCCTCCCAAGCCTGCATCCCTCCGTGTGTGACTAAACTTCATGTTGTGATACAAAGAGTTAAAATAAACTACAAAGTGAAACTAAAGTCATTGCATATGTGGGATAAAGGAAGGGCCAAAGGAAGAGTCCGTGGTTAACTCAAGGGCAGGGTGATGGGGGGAAGTGAACACACCTTGGCAACAAATGGACACAGGAAAGCGGCCTGCTCGCCAGTCAGCTCGAAGCAGAGGTCAGTGCCATGCAGCCAGCCTAGGTCCTGCTTGGGTGTCGAGTCTGTGGGGCCCGAGCCCACATCTGGCACCAGGTGCACCTTGGGCCCCCCTCCCCACTCCCCAGGGGGCCTGTCTGGGGTGGGGCAGCTGGCACTGAGCAGCTCCTGGAGCAGGTCCCCCTCGAGTCCATATGGCTACCTGCTAGCTCCCACCAGGCAGCTGTAACTACTCCCAGGGGTGGGTGAAGTGCAGGTTCACCAGGTGACCAAGAACAAGTCAGGGTTCCATGGGCAACAGGCTCAGGGACCGGCGGGGACCACCAGAGCTGACGCCTGCCTTGAGCTATTGGTCAGAACCAGGGATTTCTCAGGCTGAGTTAAGGTAAGAGCAGACCCTCTGTTCTGAACCTGACCCACAGCGGGTGAACGTGCCCCATGGCAGGCTAGAGGGAAGCTAAAGCAAAAAGTCACCGTTCATGTCCAGTCAGCAACATAGGGTGAACTGCAAACCTGCTGGAAGAAAACTCTAGAAAAGATTCTCCCTCTACTGATGTGCCCTCCCTACGACAGGACTCGAGAGGCCCAGTGAGTAAGACACGGAGCCCTGACCCGGGTTCTGGCCATGGGGTGGTGGGTGAGACCGTGCATAGGTTGGTCGGATATCCACGGGGCCGTCTGCTGCTGCGCCTCCAGCTCAGCCCCACAAGGGTGCCCTGGGCTGCTGGCTGCACAGGGGTGTTTTCATAGGACCAAGGCCTTGTGCACAGGAACAAGTGAGATCACTGAGCAGGTAACACCAGCAGGAAGCTATGGGTCTGAATCCGTCACCTGAGACCTTGGGGTGAAGGGGAGCCGAGCAGGGACAAAGTGGGTGGCATCACGACAGAAGGAAAGCAAGAGGCCAGAGCTGGCAGGGCCTCTGACTGCACAGCCAGAGCCGTGCCTCAGCACCCCTAGGGAGCGCGTCCCCGAGGAGCAGACAGGTGGGCACAGAGGTGGACACGGGGACCAAGCCTCCCTGGCCCTGAGGCTCAGGCCGGGCGCCAGGGAGGCCACTGCGAGCACAGGAGTTAGCACCGGTCTACATGGGGTTTCCGGCGGGGCAGCTCTGCTGTGGGAGGGATGGGCTCTGCATTCCAGGGTGGGGGACAGGAGGGGCGGAGCACACAGGGGGGCTCAGCAGTCGCCCCTCCTCTTGCTCTTCTTTAAGAAGGACGGGGTGCGGAACTTCTTCTTCTTCTTGGAAGGGGACTTGCCCGGAGACCCATCACTGCCTGGGTCTGCGGCAGCCCCCTCCTCCGGGGCTGGGGAGGCTTCTTCAGCCCCCTGGGCTGGGGCTGGCTCGGGGCTGGCCACCGTGGAGGACCTGGCGGGGCTCGGAGGGCCATGGGCTTCGCCAAGCCCCTCTTCCTCCTCCAGCGTCGGGAAGCCAAGCGCTTCTGAAGGCTCATCAGGGGACAGGTCAGGGAGGGTGGGCTTAAAGGTGGCGGCATCACTGTCGTCTCCGAAAACAGAATCCTGCGGCAGGTCTGGTGGGTGGGGTAGAAGAGACGGGGTTAAAGGGCGACTGCCCGGCCCTCAAAGGGGGGGCCTCAAGGTAGGCAGTGCCCTGCACAGAAACTGCCACTGGGATGGCGCCAGGGCCTCTACCAAGACAGGATAAGGAACTTGAAGCCCTGTCACTGCTTCGAGGCTGATGGAGCTCACGGGATCGAGCGCAGGATCTGCCGTGGGGGGTTTCAGCCCCCTCATGGAGGCACGCTAACGAAGCCAGGCTCGGCCACAGGGCCTCGGGCTCCAGGCAGGGAGGACAGGCGGGGACACGTTGGGTGCAGTGTTCTGCATGACCCCTGAAACGAGGTTTGCTCTAGAACCCTAGGGCGTGTCAGTAGCCCTGAAATTAGTAGCCCTAAGTTTGGGCCCACAACACCTGGTCTCCCCCCTGGAGAAAACCATGGAAAATGGCAGCAGCCACGGAAGCACAAGGTAACTCCCAGACCATGTGCACCATCAGCATCAATGAATTAAAGGGAGAGATGAAGCACCAGGAAGGGAGGGGCAAAATCGAGCCATTTAACAATCTGAACAGGAACATAAACAGCAAAATGTAACTTGTCTTCAAGAAACAGCCCGAGGGCTGGTCCCTAGTGAAGATTCCCGGCAAGGGTTGGGGTGGGGGGAGGCCAGGTTTGCAGGGTTTTTTAAAAACAGCCTACAAAGTGACAAGCGGCTGGCAGGTTAGGGGCACCAAACCACTCAGTGCTTCAACACTCAGGCTGAACCTCAGGAGAGCTGAGTGTAGGTGACGAGCGGCCACAGGGAGCTTGGGCCCCAAACAGAGCACTTGGCCCTGGGAGACTGGCACTGCCCCAGGATAACTGGACACCCTCCCTCACTGAACTGGGTTAGGAGGAGGTTAGGAGTCACTGCAAAGCATTAGGAGGTGGCCTGTGGGTGCTCAGGGGAACCTTTATCATTGGACCAAATGTCACTCTTCTGCCCCCTCACATTAAGCTTAAATACCGAGCTTAAGCAAAGGTCCAAACACATGCGACCCCCACGCAGCAGGTGGCAACCCCACTGTCCGAGCCTGGTCTAGACTGTCTTCCCTCCCAGAAATCACAAGACCAAGTACTCTGAGCACTGCTGCCTGGCCCATGGGAGCCCCGAGGGCAGGCTGCCCACCACAGCTCCCAGGTGACCGAGTCCCTTCCAGGAAGGCCACTGCCCAGAATGAAAGGACTGGGGGGGGG